TATCATAGGATTCACACAATTTTTGGAATTATTTCAATTAAAAAAGAAAAGTGAACTTAAGAAACTAAATAAAACGTGAAGAATATAGAATTTTAAATTATCTATCTATTAGTATAATCCTCAAATGATTAGAGCGTTGCGTTTTGCAACAGATGCATATAATCAATAATTTTAGTCATTTTTTAAAAGTTGATTTTAAGTGTATTTATAACACATACGAGCCGCACCACCCGTTTTCACAAGCGCGGCGCGGCGCGTGCTTGCGCACAAATCGCACAAATCATCTATCGGAAGCTATGCGATCTTTTTGGCATTTTGAATTCCTCATTATTGACATTTTCTCTTATGACATCCATGGACCGAAATGTGCCGACGTATTTTATTCTTTTACGCCATATTAGTTATTAATTAATTCTCACAAAAAATTATGGTCTAAAATCTAAATAATATTTTCATCATTATAAGAAAGAAAGAAGGAAGATAAGAAAGAAATGAATGCCAAAAAACACGGTTCTAAGCTTACTCTTGAAGTCCCACCTGCATCCATCGACATCCTGCATATTATATTACGAGGCTAGGTCGTTATTACTCATGCAGCTCTATTAATAAACACAAGATAATAAAAGCAAGATTAACTTTACTCCTGGTTTAAAGATTAAAATATCTAATTTCAGTATTAATAAACATAGATTACTCTAGGGAGTAAACTAATCCGAATCTACTCTCGGAATAAAAGTTAGTCCTTGGCGGTACCTATGGTTCATAAAAGATAGCTAGATCTCTGCGACAGCTGTCAGTAAAATCACGCCTATGAAGTCTTGAATTTCTTAGTAGTACAGACAGTACCTGTCAATACTTTATGGGCGTGCACTAATTAGGTCGGCATGCCCATAAGATGCCCATAATGTATGACATTGACAGGTACTGTCAGACTTCTCGGAGATTCTGGTTACGCTTGTACTCCTTATTTACTCATTACTATCCTGCGTCCTAATAAACAAAAGGAACCGGTCGCACATCTGGGCCCTTAACACTGTAGAACAATGCTTTTGAGGGAAGCAAAGGTTTCGGTGTTTACTGCGAGGACTAAATACTAAATAAGAGAATACAAAACTATATACAACTATATACATTGCAATGCAAAAGCAAGATCTGCTTGAGGATGTCGTATAAGGAGATGATTAAAATATATCAGTCACACAATTAGTAAATAACTCCGTTAGAGAAAATTCTGTTCGGGCAGCATTTATTAACGATTTTTTTTAAATAAATATACAATATAATTACATGTACAAAAGATTTTATTTATCCCCAAAAACGAAACAAAAATGGTTATTTAATTAATTTTGCCCTTCATGCTCTTTTCTTAATCCTAAAATTTCGTTACAAATAATATTAAAAATGATTATATTTAGAACTTAGTTTTTCCACCGAGTCCTAAAACAACACGAGGAACCAGGAACAACACGTAACACTTATCTCTTGTCAAACTCAAAATATTGCCTGTCACTGTCATTAATGTCATCATCAAGCATTGAATTCATTCACTAATTATTCACTGACTCATTCTTTTTACTTATAAAATAAGTGGGTTGCCATAGCGCAAGCGTTAATCCCGGCGTAAGGAACGTATTGTTAGTCCGGGGTTACTCCATGTTTATTAATAACATTGTGATAACGAAGTAAATAGTTATTACTACACTTCGCTTACTAGTAAGAGGCTACCGCTCAAGAACCGAAAACCTTTATTTCATTGGCCTATAGCAACTTTAGTTTATTTATCCGTTGGAATACGTCCGTTACTCTGTTTCTACCATATTACCAGTCAATTTACGTATACGTTTACTCTAAATGTAAAACATATTAAGCAGGAAGTATTGGTGACAACAAAGAGGCGCTTACTTAATCTTATCAATGCTAAAAAGAACGGTTTATATTCAATAAATAAAGTACGGAGAGTAACAAAACAAAAATAACATACTTTGATCTGATGGCGGCTTTCACGTCTTTAAAATTGTGAAAAGTAATTGCAACGTGGTAGAGCCATACTACAGCTATATTAGTAGCATAGTTGTAGTACGAATGGGTCTGTTCCACTGGGGTAGGAACACTTCTCACAGAATAGCAGCGTAACACTCCTGTATTTCGTATGGTGACTGTAGAGGAACGAAAACCCTTTTTACTGGAAACGAAGCACTCCATCTTAGTTCTCACGAATGACAACGCATTTGCATTATAATTCGTAATCGAGGATAGATATAAATGTCTATGGGCCATAGCAACCCCTTACCATCATGTAGACGTTCGTTTGTCACACTTATCGTATTAAAAAAATGCACAGGAAAAATTTAGGAGATGATAGGAATAGATCCAAGCAGCCTTGGATATGAATGGATTATTCACACTGGCGTTGCTCGGTTTCACGACTTTATGTAAAATCTCATAATTCCACTCCAAATGTTAGATGCCTTGAAATCGGCATAATCAAGGCCAACCTGAAAATCACAGTTATTGGCTTTTAATAACAGATAAAACTCTGGCAGCGATTGTAATAGTAAGTTAGCTTTGTGTATGTATACAATAAGTTGTGATCCAATAATACAGTAACTTTTTAACTAGTGCTAACCGCGTGCGGACGTGCGGCTAGTTTTCAGCTATTAACACGGTAGGTCTTACCAATTAACGCAGGGAGTCTAAACGACACCGCCCGATCAGTCATGACTCTACCTAGCGCCCTTGAAAGACGTCTTCGTAAGTACAAACTGGAGGTAACTTTTTTTATTAAACTTGGAGTAAATAAGATTCTGTAATCTTTGGTAAGTAATTGAAATGTTACAAAAACACACTGTATTAAACGCATCCTATAAGATTTTTTACTACTTCATCTTTACTCATTATAAAGTTGCAAAATTTACGCATCTTCATGCACATTGCTTATATTTGCCAATATAATAGTTAGTTGGATAAAGAAAAAGTGATTAAATGCAAAGCAAATATTTTTTCAACAGTTATTTTTTGTTTAGCCACGCGAAAACAAGTGGGTTTTAAAAAAAAAAGACATAGCGTATATTTAGTTATTATTTAATTTAAATCGGATTTTAACGTTTTCAATAAATTCACACACTTGCATGTTTTCATGTCCATTACATGAAATACCTACCATACTTCTTAGTGTACTCTTTTATTAAAAACAACCTTAGTATGTCAATTGAGCTTAACATTGAAATAGCGCATACATAATGTTCGTTCTAATTATCACAGTGTTACTTATGGAAATCCTGTAAAATAGAACAAAATAGAATAGAATAGAATTTATACGTGGTAGAGCCACGCTGCAGTTATATTATGATTGTACTTACGGTGACAACGCTCTCACATAATACCAGCGTAAAATAGCAGCTTACTGCAGCTATGTTTCTTATAGTGAGTGTACCGGATCGGAGAAATTTCAACTTATTCCTCAATGGTGGTCAAGGTTTGTACTAAACAGAAAAGAAAATGAGTTAATAAAAAAAAACGTATGAAAATTGAAACCCATATAGGATAGCATTGTTGTACGTGTGTCTGACCGTCTGTTCATCTATCAATATTCATTTTCTGTGGAACGGGTAGAGGTACCTAAGTTAAAAGTAATATCAAATAATAAAGTTGTTGCTCATAAATCATATACAATTTAAAATAATTTGAAATAAAAGTACAAGCCTTATTTACTCGTAATCTTAAAACCTGCAATAACGGTATATTAATATCATTATATATTACATATCTTATATCATATGTTTGAACTTAAGTTTAAATTTTAGATTCTCTTAATAGTAACCCTGTATTTTTTAATCATTTCTAATTTTATTTTTGTATATCTATATCTGTTTGACTGGGAGGTAATGCCCCATGACATTACTTACTTACTTATCTTCACGCACAATCCCTAACGGGGTAGCCAGAGAGAACAGATCGCCAAGTGTCACGATCCTTACGTACCTCTTTCGCTTCTTTCAGGTTCATTAACTTCTTCATACATGCACGTCTAGGTATCCGAGTACTCTTGACCCTCCTCTCTTCGAGCAATTTGCTCACATGGTCTTCGAAAGTTAGTCTCGGTCTACCTCGACACCTTTTAATATTTACTTTCGCTCTATGTATTTTCTTCACCATTCGGTCTTCACTCATTCGTTCAACGTGCCCAAACCATTGAAGTACGCCCCTATCAATTTTTGTGATAAGGTCATCTTTCAATCCTGCCATATTGCGAATCTCTTCGTTTCGCTTTCGCTTGGCTATGGTAACGCCACACATTTTACGAAGAGATCGCATCTCCACTGCATTCAACTTGCTTTTATGCTTCTTCTGGCATACCCAGGTTTCGCTGCCATATAACAAAGTCGGTACCAACACTGCGTTATGTATTGCAAGGCGTGCACTCTTCACCACGCCTTGCCTTTTTTACTAATGCATTCAGGGCACCATTGACTTTGTTTCCGGCAGCGACACGCCTATCCACATCTAAATCACATCTTCCATCCCGGCTGAAAGCACTCCCCAAGTATACAATTTCATTTACCTGTTCTAGACATTCCTGATTTACTCATATTTCACATTTCGTTCTCTCTTCGTCCTTTTCAAATGTCCCATGACATTAAGTCCGTCATATGCACTACTTTGTGCATTTAAGTATTAATATATAAAATAAAATAAAAAAATAACCATGGTATATAACAGTAGTAATTAAAAGTAAGCCATATCCACTCTTCAACTATTCCACTTATTAAATACATGATGTAAAAACACACATACTATTTTACCATAACATTCCCTGCTTTTCGTTGCCGGTCGTGGGTAATTTATATCAGCCGTATAAGACATCTTTTTTGACATTTTCTATAACCATCTATTAAACGCTTACGAAACCGTCGGAATGAAATTTCTTAAGCAACAACAACATAGTAGACGGTATTTAATAATTACTACAATGTTATTAAGTCATATAATGTTTGTTTCAGACGAATGTTTCCTGTAGTAAAAGTCACCGCCAGTGGGCTTGATCCGACTGCAATGTACACAGTACTGCTTGAATTTGTTCAAGTAGATACACATCGTTGGAAATATGTTAACGGTGAATGGGTAAGAGTAAAGCTAATTTATGCCTTTTAGTTAAGTTAAGTAATAGCCCATTAAACTCCTATTACCGCCTGCAAGTTTTATTCACAGTTATAATATAAATAGGTTAAATCACGATGTTTTCAATCACTATCGAGAACTTCGCCCTCTTACTTACATGTGTTAGAGCCACGTTGCAGCTATATTACGGTTGTAGCACAAATAAGTCGACTCAACCGGGGGAGAGGTGGAGAACCACGCTCTCACAGAATATCAGTTTAAAATAGCAGCTAAATCTACTGTGTTCCGTGTGGTGAGTGTAGAGAACCGGAGACCGTTTTTACTGGAAACGAGGCATTCCGTCTTGGTCCTCGAGGTTGGCAACGCATCTGCATTTTGATTCTTAATCGAGGATAAATGTAGATGTTTATGGGTCACAGCATCCATTTACCATCAGGTAGACTATGTGCTCGTTTGTTATCCTTTATTCTTTTTTTTTTTTAAATTAAATATTTCGAATAAGTCTCGCTTGCCAGGAGTGGCATCTATAGCAAATATCTTCCCTGTGAGGAAAAAATAATATAATTAATAGTAATATAATTAATTAATATAATAAGTGCCCAATTAATATAATTGCTTTGTGGCATTCCTTAGGCCTATGTTGAGCAGTGAACTTGTGATGAGCTCTTATTTCATACTTCTTTTCTTTTCTATTGTATATGTAATCTGTATTTTCGTTATGGTGTGCAATAAAGAATATTAAATAAATAATATTTATATCTTGTTATAAAAGTTTTCTATTTATATAAATGTTAGTTCAGTATTAAACTTGGACAGGCTGAAAAACAAAGAAAAAATAATGATACGTGCGTGAGTTTGTATCAAGAAGTTATGCATGGTTTCAGTATCTATCTTTGTATTTATCTTTGTCTTTCTACCTTTCTTTGTTGGTCTGAGATACAAAAATAATTGTGATAATAAACGGTGCAACGCATTTTCACACCAGCCATGTGGCACATTATGTGGAGATGTGTGGGAGAGGCCTACGTTCAGCAGTAGACTTCAATAGGCTGTAACGAACAAATAATAGAAGAGTCACCATTTGTGCAAATTTGTCTTCAAATCTGGTTGCTTCGAGTTTTTCTCCATATTTCTGTCACTATATTCTAGTATATGTATCTGTAGTGACAGATACAGTGGTATTATGTAACTTTTAGCGTAAGCGGTATATTGAGTATTAATAGGCTGGGAAGAGTGAGTGACTGTGAGTGAGAGTGTGTGAGAGTGAGTGTGATTCTCCGTAGGCTTATAGCACTATAAAAACTCTTATGCGTTTGATAGCCTCCATTTATTCGAAATTATTTCCAAGATCCAAAATTGATCAGGGGGACATCTTCATCTTTTTTTTATTTTACAAAATGCGTGTAATATATAAGCCTATTACAAAGCAAGGAAGGATTTTATTAATCTATGGTTCCTAAACAGGTATTTATCATTTTTGACATAAAAAAGAAAAAGTTAAGTAGACCGTTGCCACCGTCGTTATAGACACTCACCATACAAAAACACCAACGTTTTGCTGTTTTTTTTAAGTGTAGCCAAGCAAGTAAAACTAGAGACATGTTAGAGCCACGCTTCAACTATATTATATTTATAGCACGATTGACAGGGAAGTACCAGGCTCTCACAGAATACGAGCGTAAAATAATTGCTTAATGTTTCTGTGTTTCGTATGGTGAGTATAGAGAACCGGCGACCTTCATTACTAGAAATGAAGAATTCCACCTTTGTCCACAAAGGTGACCACGCAGTAGGTATTTATGGGCTGTGGTAGGTATCTATGGGCCACAGTATCCTCTTACCATCAGGTAGGCTGTGTGCTTTTTTGTCACCCTCATTATATAAAAATGGTAGGTTCTTTGTAGTTTTCTCAAACAATATATTGTTTTCAATACAAATATAAATGTATTTCTGTCACAAGGTACCTGGTGGTAAAGCAGAAGTTCCTCCGTCTAATGCTATCTATATTCACCCAGAGAGCCCGAACTTCGGAGCACATTGGATGAAAGAGCCAATTTCGTTCGCTAAAGTAAAACTTACGAACAAAACTAACGGAAATGGTCAGGTAAGATGCATAAAAGGTACTATGTATTAATTGAAATATGAGCTCCAGAGCGATTTTGTTTTTGCAAAGACTTATATAAATTACAACAAAACACAAGCATTTAGTTACTTGTAAAACCTATTAAACCCAGCGCAAAATAATTTATAGTAAAAATTATTGAACACAATATTAATAGTAATTGTATATTAATGAGATAGATACTTAAGGAACACAACCGCTCGTTTCATATTTATGGGCGGTTTATTGTTCGTTTATTCAGAGGCCGCGTATAATTAACAGGCAACAGAACTGACAGCATACTAATTTTTGATAATAGAAAGCCTGTTAGATGGAGGTGCGATGCTGCTACAGTTTCGGAGCTACTGCGAGTTCATAGAAGTTATTTCTCACGCTTATATGTAGTGCGAATGAATATGAAAGCAAACATCAGATACATCCAGATCCATATGTTGACGTCTCGGTGTGAAATCTGTAGCTTTACTAACTATTTAGCGGTTGCTTGTACGCACTATCATTTGTAATAATTATTGTCTCGCTATGTTTACCCTTCTATCTTTTTATGATAATAGTTTCTTTACCTTTAATAAGCTATAAGGTGTCGTATTTATTAAAGTAAAATCCGTATTACGCTGTATGTTACGAATTTTTGATGAATACTTACTTACGCTGATTGATTAATTGAATTAATTAACAAATCAAACTTTGGTGTTTGAAAATCTATTATTAAAATGTCATCTAATTATTATCATACAAAAGCGACGGAAATCGCACCTTTCATAAATAAATATTTTCCCCTTCTGGACTAGATCTGGTTAATAAAAGGCATATTATGTAACTGCTACTAGAATTTTTAGGTTTTTGATTGCGCAATCTCATTCTTAATGAATCACTGTGATCCCTGGCATAATGACTTAATTTTGTCATTGTGCGACTTAATTTGATTTTAAGGAATAGTAATTTATACTATAGAATCAACATCGTCCATAAAAAAGACGGAGAACACTTGGAGAATAATAATCCTATTTATTGTTCATGTACCGGTTCCATACACCTAAAATGTCCAACCGGGGACAAACATGACTCTCTGTATCGATACACAGCAAAATTATTAAACTTACTGTGTATCTAACGCTGGTCCTCGTGTTTAGTCTTATTGGAACAATGAACATAATTATGGCTATAGAATCTGTGTTTATATTCAAGACGTGAGGGCAAATAATAATTGTTTATTATTTAATTGACGTTTTATTTTTACCTTAAAGATAATGCTGAACTCTCTACACAAATACGAGCCTCGCGTGCACCTAGTGAAAGTCGGAACTGACCTACGTCGCATCATGACTTACCCCTTCCCGGAAACTCAGTTCATTGCAGTAACAGCTTACCAGAATGAAGAAGTTACTTCGCTCAAGATTAAATATAATCCCTTCGCGAAGGCATTCTTAGACGCAAAAGAGAGACCAGAAGGCTATTATCAGAGAGACTTCGTCGGAACGCATTATCCGCAACAAAGTAATTCGCCTCATCAATATCCGCAATGTAAGTAAACGTTTTTTGTTTTACTTGAACTGAATATAACTGTTTGTTTAGATTACAATGTTAACCATTTATAAATTAAAAAATTAATCAGCTGTATTAACGAAGTAGTACGAATGGCGTCTTTATTGTAGTGCGTTGGCGTGGCTAAATGTTGTGAGAACCTGTGAGAGCGGAGCTTTATACTATTTTGTCAAAAATTCAGTTTTTTGGTTTTAAGGGGCTCCATGTAATAAGATAGTTCTAGTGTGTACGACTCTACATCTAAGCTTATTGAATGCTTAAGCGCAAAGCGCCTAGATATGTTTTACTAGCGCCTAAAAATTAAGAATTCGACGTTTTGCCGCATGAATTCGTATTTAATAATAAATGATATAAAAATAAAAAGCACATTGTCAAAAAGATAAATGATTATTGAACTTATAAGTTTTTTATAATCGATTAATTGCTATTTTACCTTAAAAAGTGATTTTAGTGGTTTATGGTGTAGATTTATCAAGTCCGCATGGAGGGGTAAACACGATAAGTTTTGAAAATATCAATTGTTCAACTCAATCTATTGTTTTATCTCTTCATCTATCATATGGGAAGCCATGGAATGTAAATGGCATTTTCATTCTGTTTTGTTTAGTTATGATTTTTTTGGCTGAGAAATTCCTACATTTTAGGTGTTTCTAGCAGCCTTGTTATAATATATTTTACTATACACTTTGTCTCCGGCCTCGGCCACCGTCGTGAGTGGATTACTGTATCGTTTGTTTACATCGGCTCTTGATAAAAATTATTAAAAATATTGAAATTTTAAAAATATTTGAAAAAACTGACGTACTCGTATACTCGTAACATGGGTGTTTGAGGCAATGCACATATGGATTTACCAAAACATTTTTTTTTAGATTATTTCGTATGTGTCACAAATACAAAGATTTATGTGCGTACACTTGTGGTACGAAGGAATATATATATATATATATATATATATATATATATAATTTAAATGTTTTAAATTATTCATTTAAAGCGTATGTTGATGGACATATTAGAATTCAACATTAGTTATTTACACATGGATTATAGGTTTCAGCAATGATTTCAAAAGGAAGGATAGGCCCATCTAAATATTTTACTCTTAATTTTTTCATACAAGAAAAAGTAGCGCATCTGTATTATAATACAAACGTCATATCATAACCCGACGTAACCATGGTCGAATTTCGTAGTATAATTATCCTAATTGTACCATTATTTCATAGTTTGTTATAGTATCGTAATAATACTAACTACGAGAATACCATAATTTTACATAAATGTCGACTTGTATTATTAATGGGTCCTTTTACTTTTTATTAACCCTACGATATCGAGAATTTCTGTATTGTACAAGAGTACCGCGTATTTTTAATTAAATTAGAATTAGCTACCTTTTTGGACCACCGGTGCTCGATCGATGCATTTATGTTGCATCCGTAATACAACTATAATGAGTCTAAGTGTAATCGATTTGAAAACAGAATTTCAAAATATTTTATGAATCAGATTTTCAGATTCAATTAATCTGATAAGGTTTCTTTTGTACTCTTTTCGTTTTACCCTTATTGAATATAAAATATATTAGGTACTAATACTCAAAGTTTAACTAACACTAACTTTAGACAAATATAAAAATAAAACTATCAAAAAACGTATCGTATAGATAAACTAGACGTGTGATGCCAAAATCGTTTAATTATAATAATTTTTAGTTTAAAATAATAAATTAAAAATAGTATAATTTTATTTTCCGTGTACAATATTTTTGAGGGTCTGAATCCAACCCTGGTCTAATCTTGGTAACATAACTAAACTAACTATAAAATAAAACTAAAAATGTGTTTATATAATAATTTAATTAAAACAAAGTTAATATAAAGTTATTAACCGATGATACGATATCCCATGTTCCTTTTTAATTTTTGTATCGTAATTTTTGCATCCTTTTACCACGCAATTAGCCATATTTATAACAGGCAAATCTGTCCTGCGAGTGCACCACTGTCGACCGATTCACGTTGGCCCTAAACTGTATTTTGGGGCCAGCGCACTGGTCCGTTTTAGTTGTTCGGTCGGCCCGGTCCTTACGCTAGTAATATATAGTCAATGGGTTTCAGTCATAATTAATTGCACTGCAAACAATTATATGAAGTCAACAATGATCTGAAAAGCACTGTTGTTAATCTTTTTGTCCTCAGTTTGGTGTTTTGTATACCATGTTCCTGGTTTAATAAAATCATTCATTTACTGTCGTCAACTAAGTAAAAAAAGAAAACAATTGTCCCAAAACACTAACAGTTCGCATTTTTATTTCAACTTAAGGGGAAATAGGGGCCTATGCTACCTCAAATGGCTTAGCAAGATGCTCCGTTATGCCGAAAATATTGCAGCATTAATTTTGAAATAAATATATGGTAAAGTTGAGGATTAATGTTAAGTACTATGTTAGACGAAAACACGATTCCGTAATATTTTCTCGATAGAAAAAAAATTCAAAAGTTACCTCCAAACTGAACAATAAAACACAGGTATTCATAAAATACTTTGATTTAGATCATGAAACTTTGCATACTAACTGTATACCTCAGTCCCCCGTGACCATGGCTGCTAGAAAACACCCTAAACGTCGGGTGTTAAAAATAAAATAAATGAAACGCGATAAAATCCGTAAAAGTAGTTTTAATCAACAGTGTTTTCTGTTTAGATAATTAGTATATGATGGGGTCACATCGTATCATATCTTAAAATTTGCAAGTTCATGGACATCTGCAAATTTTAAGCAAATGTAGCTAGAGATGCGTGGTAATCCCACAGGATATGATGGTATGTCTGTAATTATTCTGGCGCAAGGAGACTCTTCACACCCGAACAATACAGGACAGCTCCAGCACTACTAATTTAGTCGAAACCCTATCAATATATTAAGCCCTACAACCGAACTTTTCATACCTGGTTTTAACTGTAAAAAATTGTCTATTCCAGTTGGTGGTTGGTTCGTTACATCTCAGTCACTGTATGGCAGTAACAATTCGGCTTCGCGAAGACCAACTCCATATCCACCACGGCCACCCTCAAGACCCAGAACTTTATCCCCGCCTTGTAAGTTATAAAATACATTGACTATTTAATTACGTATAATAATTAAGGCCTTTCAGAAATATAGAGAAAATTAATATTAAAGCAATTTTATTCTTATCTTTTGTTGGGAATTGTCTAATGGCGGGTTAACTTGGACCCCCAATTCCAATCTCTCGGTGTTCCATATTAGTAGCAAACAGGCAGCGCTACGATATCTCACACAACAACAAATTCTTCACCTTCTACCCCCCCCCCCTTCCTCCGAGCAAAAGCACACCAAAACATGTGGCGCACCTATCTAAACGATCTTGTCCATGTTGTGCCATGATACGCCACGCGAAGTACATGAAGCTGAAAAAGTCAGCACTCAGAATTAATTGCCTTGCCGAGCGGTTATGTATTCGCCGTCAACAGATGGGCACTGGAAGAGGTCGCCACGGGCCAGCCCTCCATCTCGACCCTTTTTAGCTTCATTAAGAAATAAGGTACGGCTACTCAATTGCTCTACCACGACAACGCGTAACACTATTTGAAGAGAGTATTAATGAGCCCAACCCAACAGATTAAAGAGAAATTATTAATTGTTAATAATTTAAAGCTCTTTCACATTAATTATTAATAACTTAAAGCTCTTTAATATGAATTATTAATAATTTAAATCTTTTCCATCATAATTACTTTTCCAGGAAAAGCTAACACGTGTATGAATTTTATTTATTAGCCTAAAGTAATTAATTATGTTCAGTTTACTAACTAAAAATATGATTTTAAATACAGCGTCATATAGTACCGGTGAACGGTCATCGGCCGGGCCATCAAATGGCACTGGCAGTTACACATGGGCAAGTGGTGGTTACTGGAGTTCCACTCAAGGAAATAGCCCACCCCAGTCAAATGCATCACCAGCTCCTTATCGTACGCCGCCGCATGCGTACCCCGCCCCACTAGAGTACGCGCCTGCACCACCTACCAGTACTACCGCATCAGCAACAGCACCTGCGCCATTATATCCTCTCCAATATGATGCGCCGGCTCAACACCACTCACCTTATTACCAACACCCGTACGCTCCGTATGCTCATCATGCAATCGAGGATATTTCATACTGGCCTAATAGGTACGTAGTGTTTCATTTTTACAATCACAATCTTTAAAGGTTTAGACCAGCATGTACCTAAATATCTAGGTATAGATATCAATAAGATTAAAGTCTTAGTAAAACATGCATATATTATTATCTTCATATTCCACTGCTAAACTGGAATGCGTTGCTCTACTCACTCGACCGGGCACTGTGGTTGATTAACTAAATCCAGATACTCTCTATATCATAATTAACTAACTTTTTTTCAAGTAAGTATAATATTATGTACACACTTTTTAAATATATATGTCGCTGGTTTATGATAATGATCAACAACGGAAGGAAGAAAAATTACTAATTTATGCTATCATAAACCTAAGAAAGTCCAGTGTTGTAATCAAAAACCTTTTTAGATTTAGTTTTATGATAAATCAATGTCGGTTGCTATTTCTATGAATAAATAAAGCAATTAGATAACCTAACCGAATCTAACCAACCTGACCTAAGCTTTAATTTATTATAAACCTCAACCATTTTAGGTTTTTGATTAAAAAAGGAGCTTTTTAGGTAAATAATAAGATTAAATAATAATTTTGTCTTTCCCGTTTCTTTATTAATAGGCCTGGGTTTTTGATAAAAACCTGATTTCATCATGAACCTGCGACATATATAATGACCCCACACAGGTACATATTATAACAGAATATAAAAGCGTAGCGTAGCGTCGATAACTGTAATCATACGTCTTCGAAGCGACCAGGCAAATTCGCGAGGCATATTTTTAACAACCCGTAAAAGTTCAATGCTGGATATGGACCTCTCCAGTTGTTTTTCTGATATTTCCCAAAGTTGTCTCTTACCCACACAGACGATATAGGGTGATGTTTTCTTGTACCTATATTATGTAATTATATTGAATTAATATTGACGTATATCATAGTAATGTGAATACGTTCAACAAAATTTACACTTGACACCTTGAGTAAAAAAATTAACTTTCAAACATATTGTTACATATTGCAAAGTATTTGTTTTTTCATCCCGATAGGATTTCTACGGAACATAATAGTTTAAGGTACCAAAATATAATTGTTTCAGCTTAAACACCTATGGTTATCAACCATCAGAGTATGTTGGTGCTGGAGATGTAGCCTATGGAGCAGAAAATATGTCTTTTGGTTCAAGTGGACCTCCATTGGAAGCCGCTACAGCCAGTGGAGAAGGTCGCAACACTCCCTCTGGTGCGGAACAACAACCTGGAGAAAGGGAATATAAATTTAGCATAGAAGAAGGACGTCATTCACCCTGTGAAGAATCGGCACTACCACCACGCTCGCCAGCTCAGTGACAACGATATTGTTTCCTTATTTATTTAGAGTAACTTATTTTAAAACATCTATTGATTTATGACGGATGGTAATAATTAGTTAATTATTTTACATAGTCAATAAATTTAAACACAAACGATACAACCAGCAGTGCCAGTACTCATTGTTAATTTTAATGGAAAATAAATAAGTGCTGATGAATACTCGTACGTTACGTATTTTTTTAATTCATCATTTAAAGTAGTTTTTTAGAAATAAGGTTATAGTGACATTTTGTGCAATCTCCGAAAAAATTCGATAAAATTATGAATGGCCGCCAAATAACATCAGATTTCAAATATTTCGAAAATCAGTGCCTTGAGATTTACGTTTAAAAAAGAAGAAAGCTACCAAAAACCACAAATAAGAACGAAAATGAAACTACGAATAACTCTTATTCTTAAACATATTATGTAAAATAATTTAAAAAATATTTCTACACTTAATAAGAATCAGGCTTACTTTTTTACATGCTGAAAATATCTTGACCTCTGTGTATGTATATAAATGAACGTAATGGTATCTCGGAATTATCGTCATCTAGACGTTCGATAAACTCGAAATTTTGCAGACTTATGTGTTTCGCCAGGATTATCAGCTCATGATGTGGTCAATAAATGGCAATATAGGTATTATTACTCAGATTAATGGTCATTTTTCTAACGTGATCTCGTGTATATTCTTCATCTTCGCTTTTATCCCCTAACAAACTACGATGAACCCTCTTATTTTAGGAAAGATTGCCGTAATCGCAATGCTTGGAACAACAACCAGATGTCTACTTGTACTTACGATTGTATGTATACCGCTGCTATGAGGTTTTTTAAGCCTTTCCCATACTTAACTTTTATAACACCAGCGGATTGAAACGAGCTGATGTTTTTAATGCTGACACCACACGGCCTTAAGAAATCAAGTATAAGTTAGACGGTGTGAATATGACTAAGATAATTACGACAGAAACAATAGCCTGAAAGGCGAATGTTACCATATTCTTGATTTGGCCATACAGCCATGCACAACATGTATTGTCAGGTAATTCCTAATTTTTTTTAACTTATTATTAGTCAGTACTTTGACCACAATCCCACCTGGTGGTAAGTCGTGACGTAGCCCTAGATGGTTAATTGCACTGTCTTAGCCTAACAAAGCCAATTCACTCGCCTGGAAGATGCCTAGATTGTATTTAGACGGAAATGCAGACGCCAGCAAATTATTCCAGTTCTTTGCTGTACACAGTACAAAATAGGAAGCAATGTGATTGTTTCTAATGCGTGAAAAAATAACAACCAAGGGTGAAGACCCACCAACTCCTGGTTTTCCAATGGTGGAAAGGAGAGAGAGGAATCACACCATGTAATTCGTAAATAAAAGAAGTTGACTGCTCAACCCAGCAATGAGGATTGTCTGTATAGAATTGAATGTATGTATATGAAATTGCTGGGACATAAACAAAAGAACACATAAAATGAAAGTAAAAGCTAAAAAAACATTTTATTGGAAAATGAACTATAACGTACGTTATAATTTAATAGAAAGCTTTTATTAAAGTGTTTTATTAAAGTCACATCAGTAGTCTTAATTTTTTGTAAAAATAGTTATTATGAGCGGTTTTTATATCAAAATACGTTGTTTATAGGTACTTTTATCAAATACACATTTTCAAACTATTTTTATACTCTGTTTTTATGAGAAAAAATTGAGTACGAGGCTTTTATTTATTCGGGAACTATAGTCGAGATGTATACCTATCTACACGAACCAAACCCAGCTTAATGTTTAATTTTTTTCTTCTCTTCTTCATCACCCCACTAAAGTACACTGCTGCAAGTCCTGTTAGAAGCATTTGCTTTTTCTCATGTTTGGCAGGAGGCTTGACTGTTGCACTACCAAATGTCTCACTCATCTCACCTTTGACGTGGCTGCCTCGTTGTCGGTCTTCATATTTTACATCTGGCGTAATATATCTCCATCTATCGTTGGCCATCCGGGGTTGCACATTGTTTAATTTACTTATTATTTAAATAAAAAAGTAAACATCAGACATAAATTGGTATTTTGAAGATAAGATAACTATTGCAATTCTGTGTACAATTGCTCATTTCATTAAGAAAATAATAATTGCTATTTCTACCATTTTAGCATTGGTAAAAATTAAATAATAGTACAGATTTTAAGCATTACCGAAATTCCGTTTATCGTTGTGAGAGGTAGAAGACTTCCTAAAATATAATAAATAAATATTATCCTAATTGTAATATTTTCCACTTATGGGCATCAATTTGAACTAAAGGTTAAGTCAGCGTAATTCACAAAATTCGTAAGCGATAATCATGAAACAACTTTCATCATATCATAGCTTAGGTTTTGTGGTTTGAACGAATAGGTAAATAAGTATTAAAGTTTGGATATTTTGGATGTTGGCTATACGCACATCTCTAGCCGTGTTGGTAGTCATTAAATGTAAAGAATATTAGAATCTACATGTAAAATAGATTGTCTACAAATATATAATTTTGTCTGTAAATATAAAGGTAGTACCTACATATTATTAGTATTCTACGTAGTTTTAAGTAGGCATATAAATACTCGTACCTAATCAAGATTTCCAATTTCATTTCATATTGAGAATAAAACGATGTTTCTGTTAAAAAAAATATTATTTTATTTTTATTAATTTATTTCACATCCTCTTCCTCTTGACTTTTGGTACATATATAAGATGGTTATATCGACTTCTATCGAAGATCACAAGCTCTTCTGGGATTTTTACATCGTTTCTAAATGCACCCACATGATATGATGTAGTGAGGGAATTTCTTATGCTGTCAGTTTTGAGATTGTTTTTATTCTTGCAAAGTAAAAGCACCATGGCAGCACATATTTGCGGTCCCTGAAGTTGTAGTTACTTAAACTACCAACATGTCTCTTAACCTTTGTTATACAATATGTAACGTAATTAACGCACACCCTCAGACACCCCAATTAGTATATTATGTTATAATCATAATACATACACTGAATTTTTAGTTAAACATTTTTATGCACTGATTATTTATCAAATTATTTATACTAATTCCGGAAGAATGTTGTGGTCACAGTACATATCCACAACTCAAAGACTTTACCGTGCTTGAAATAAAGTTCATTTTTCTTTTATTGAATGACAGAATTAGTAATAATACAAATAAAACTGCACTCTTAAAAGTCTTATTGTCTTAAGTTACGGTCCATTTCAGTTTGTTTTGACTGTACAGATTTAGTGTGCCTGTAATTTACGTAGTTTTAATTATTTTTGGGATAAAAAATTACCTATATTAAAAATGATATGAATCGATTCAGTAAACGATTCTGAACAAACTACTTTCTCAAAGTGCGTTAATTATGTTACATGTTGTATATTCATAGATTAATATATGACAATAAAACTGTGAAAAAATATTAAATAACATTTTTGTTTTGGGTAGCTAGAATATCTTTTCGATTCAGGGGTCCGTTTGCGAAATATTTAGTATTAAAGTGATATATTTTATTAGTCATGTGTCCACCCCCCCCCCCCACAAAATAAACCACTGTTTTTGGAAATGTGAAAAAAAGTATGCATGATATTAGTATATATGATGAAATTAAAAGGAACACATAAGCTAAGTAGACTTAAGTATGTTAACAAGTAACAGTACAAACAACAGTGGTAGAGCCACGCGGAAGCTTTTGCTGTTGCACGTATGGACCGGCTCGAACCGGGGTGGTATCACAACCTCACAGAAAACCAGCGTGAAATAGAAGGCTGTGCTTCTGCATTTCGTCTGCGGAGTGCAGGTGGGCGGAGGACCAATCCCCCCCCCCCTTCACATGGTAGCAGAGTTAAACGGAACACTACCCCAGGAGGGTACCAGCACCCCTAGTAACGGAGAATCCCTCGCTGAGCATCCACGCCCAGGCTACCCTACTCTTCCTGAGCGGATGCTCAGGCTGCCCCACGTATTCTGCGGGGGCCTCCCTGTCACGCTATATGTAAATTTCTGCAACATCAGGGGACTTCATTCAAACCTTAACGCCGACCACTACCATCTGGAAACGGCGAAGCCAGCCTTGCTCTTTCTAACCGAGACAGAGGTATTCTCTCCGGCTGATACTTCATATCTCTCTTACCCGGGGTACAAATTAGAATTTTACAACAGAATAGATACAACAGGTTCCAACTACAGAGATCGTGATTCTTGGTCATTTTAACGCCAACCACGCTGAATGTCTTAGTTCCGGCTTAACCGATCATGCAGGTAGATCTGTTTATGACTTTACTTTGGCATATGGTCTGACACAACTGGTTACCTCTCCTGCGCGGATCCCAGATGTGGAAGATCGAATTATTATGTTCGATGGCTAGTTTTTAACAGCAAGCCAAATTTTCGGAATAATAAAATAAGAACCGACAAGTAACAGGTTTAGAACTTGCGAAGGCTATAATATAATTAGTATAATACGAATACTAGCCTATAAGTTATAGACCTTAGGCTATAATATATTATCCTAAGTTATAAGAAGAAATGATATTTTATGTTGTTATAAATAAATTTCGGGACTGACCATTGACTTGGCACCCATTTAGATCTCACTTCTTTTGTCGTTGAAGTCAACAACCAAGACATATATCATAATATTGAACTTGGCTCTCATTTCACATTTATGTTTTTGATGGGATATCATTACTTTTTGTACATAAATTATTAGTAGGTACTTATTTATAACCAAATTAATACCAAATGGTTTTTGTTAAACTACTGTATTTTCTACGTTTACGGGGTATTTTTTTTTGTGTCATTTTCTATATTTTCTTGTACCTTTGATATGTTCGAGCGAATAGCCCATTCAGTATCGCATTTTTTGTTTATACTTAATTAAGCCAAGTCGGGGTGATATAACGTGCGCAGAGGGTTGTACTCTACAATAGAGCTCTCTTGTCACTTGATTTGACTTAGAT